GTAAGCGATTTCGTCGTTGTACGGTATACTTGTGTTACACATCTGTGCCCTAATTGTTGGATGTAAGAATATAAATATACATATTAGCCCCCTCTACAAGTATACTTGTGTTACACATCTATGCCCTAATTGTTGGATGTAAGAATATAAAAATCAGCTACTGTAAAAGATCCTTGTCTGTTCATTAGGGAACAGCTCATAATTGTGACAAGTGACCAAGATCATTAGTTGTGTACATTCTTGAGTATAAAACTATGTAACAAATGTTTGACACAGACCAAGCAGGCCGGTGCTCATCATTATGGTCCTACTGAAAAATGCTTAGACAGAGCCACCTTGGACCTCTCCTTATAAACACTGGTTCATTTCTTTATTTCAGCACAGTATCATACCCCATGCTTCAAGCTTCTCTGGGATTTTGTAAAACCACAGCATGGATTGACACTGCATCAGTGATCAGGGCCAAGGTGCCTAGCAGCGGCGGCACATGCCAAGAGGGGGCAGCACTGGAGAGAATTCAAGCAACAGCCAGATGAAATGTGTGAAGCCAAATCTGTTTGTTTAATGAGAAATTAATACAAAGGAGGTTTGAAACAAATCAGTGATTATGTCACTGCAGTAAGCCATTTTGTTTTTCCCCTGATGCACTCTTCTGAGACACATCTTGAGCGGTAAAAATGGCTGCCTGCATTCCTGTCCTTCAGGGGTAATTGTCTTATGTCAAGCACTGAAAACAGTTTTCACAAAGAGGGAACCTCCCCTGACTGATAAAACAAAGGAAGGAGAGGTTAGAACTGGGGAGTTAATTAAGGATGTCTCCAGGATTTTTGGGGTGGTGGTGATGTACAAGCCTAATCTGCATGCACAGGACTCAGTGCATTTGTCTATATATTGTAGCAATAGGTGCCATGAAATGATAAATTTAGGATTATAAGGCAGGACATGGACCCCCCTTTCTCCCTTCCAGATACCAATGAATTTACACCTTGCTTACAACAGAAAGCAAAAAGGAAATTAACCTACTTTCTATAACCATCTGAACTTCTTCAACAAAAGGTAGTAAGTGTGACCTATCTTATTTGCTAAAAATGAAGTTTAGAAATTATTGTTTATTACAGGAGAAGGACTTTCTGATTGGAGAATGTATGTTTGCTAAAGTGTAAAGCCATCCATACCCAAACTAAGGCTACAGTACTTAACAGTGCAATAACATGTGTATCTGTTCCGAGGGCCTGATTTGGTAGACTTCAGATTCTGCTTCAAGCATAACCTTGCATTATAGGAAAGTTTGTACTTTACTTTCATTTGAATTCACAAAAACCTGCTGTGAGGTTGTGGATTTACTTCGCTTATATTGTGTCTTATCTAAATCATAAATTCAGTTTTCATCCCTGCACCCTTTTTCTTACAATACAAAAGAATTAGGTCTCCTTGCTCATTGACTGGCTTGGATGTTTCAGTTGATTTTTGCCCTGTATGGCATATAGAAAGCCATTCTGATTGCTCGTTTCCTTCCCCTAAATTGCCACTTTTCCCAATAGCAAATTGCAAATTGTAGTACAGACATATCCTAAACATTGGACTGATCAGAGCAGTTTTCTTTTAAATATTTCTACCCTGCCTTTTTCACTGCTTTTGTTTTAAGCAAAATAGAAAAATAATCATGCTTATAACTAAAGAAATACTTAAAAACAAATAAAACACTACAGGACAACACAACACCAGAAAAAAAATATGAAGAAGCTTTAGCATCAGATTCAAATTTCAAAATCTTGTCTCAAAAGGATTTTTATTTGTTTAGACTTTTACCCTGCCCATTTAGTGGACAAACCACTAGGGATCCCCCTCCAGTACATATTTTGTAAGAATGTGTCACCCAAATGTACTTTCTCGGGGAATTAATTTTAGAAGTTTTGGCTATGGCTAATACAGTCCTGCTATCCTTAATTGGCATGAGACATAGTCATAAAGAATTGCTCTAAATGCAGCGTTATAATGGCAAACAGAGTATGTTGGCAAGTATGTTAGCAGATGACATGCTTTGTTCTGTCAGAGTTACCGCGTTTCCCCGAAAATAAGACAGAGTCTTCTATTAATTTTTGCTCCACAAATGCATTAGGGCTTATTTTCAGGGGATGTTTTATTTTACAGTTATGTCATCCTCTGGGTGCTGCACAATGCTGCACAATGGCAGAGGGTGGGGTTTCACTTAACTGGGACTTATTTTTGGGGTAGGGCTTATATTACAAGCATCCTGAAAAATCATACTAGGGCTTATTTTCAGGTTAGGTCTTATTTTCGGGGAAACAGGGTACATATGACTATATAGCATGGGAGCAACAGTTCCTATTTACAGTGTCACCTCCTGCTGGATAATAATTAGGTTTCTACTAATATTGTCTGTGTAGAAGAAACATCCTTTGCTGTCTTTGTCCAAATGTTATCTTATGTATAAATCAGTAAAAATACATACATTTCAATTCACATTTCGGTGTGCCAGCTCTCTTAGTATGTTTGTGAAATGCATGTTGTTGTTACATCATAACAGACCTATATAATAGCCAACACCATCTATCCCAAGTTCTGATTGTTGAGATATTTCACATGAGCAGGTCTAAGTTGTTTTATATAAATAATTATGCAAACAACAGAATCATTTTACAAAAATAACTAAACACTGGAACTGGTGGGTTCAAGCCACCATTAACAAAGCATTTTAGGGATGGCATAATATTGTTTGTAGCTGTAAATATGCAAGGTAAAGTTTATATGGAATAAGTATCAAATTCATAGATGTAGCACTTATCTGTGGTACTTTAACTCTGCAATGAACATTTTGGGCAGGCCAATACGAGTTGAACAGAAATATTTAAAATGCCAATATAAAAAGCACTCATCAAAAAAATTTGTAAGCCATAAAGAGTTATTCTAAGGTGTAGTCAGATGTTATTTCTGTTAACTGTAAACTTTTCATTGCCATTTTCATTCTAAAATTGTGCTTATAATGCAGTTTTAATGGAGACGTGGTAATTTTGACAGCCATCTTGGATTTCTAAATTTTCATTTTCTCTGCCTAAGAATGTCATAGAAAGTAGGTTTACACAAACTATGCATTACTTAATGCTCTATGATGAACATGAATGTTTGTATATTGTGTACAGATACCACATTGCTGGAAAAATGAAATTCACTTGGCTTCAGTTTTCACTTAGGCTTTAAGTTTCGTGACAGCTCTCATATTAGGCTGCCATAAGATTTTCATTAAAAATGGTTTAACAATGTGATTATGATAGCGCCTTTTTTTCCTTCAAGGAGTTGGTCTCAGACATCTTGAATGCAATTGTTGGTTTAGGGTCAAAGGTAAAGGTAAAGGTTCCCCTTGACAATTTTTGTCCAGTCGTGTCCGACTTTAGGGGGCGGCGCGCATCCCGCTCTTCAAGCCATAGAGCCAGCGTTTGTCCAAAGACAATCTTTCCGTGGTCACATGGCCAGTGTGATTTAGACACGGAATGCTCTTACCTTCCCACCGAGATGGTACCTATTTATCTACTCGCATTTGCATGCTTTCGAACCGCTAGTTTGGCGGGAGCTGGGACAAGCAACGGGCACTCACTCCATCGCATGGATTCGATCTTACGACTGCTTGGTCTTCTGACCCTGCAGCACAGGCTTCTGCGGTTTAGCCCACAGCGCCACCACGTCCCCCTTTAGGGTCAAAGCCGAGGTGAATAACTTTAGAGAGAATTAGATTCAGCAAATAAAAAAAAACATTGTGTGACTGATCATGCAACCAATTTTGCAACCGCTGCACAACTGGTCACAAAACAGACATTCCAGCAAAGTGGGGAAGACCACTTGCATTTCTCAACAGGACTCTGGCATATAAAAAAGATTATTGGGAAGGTGACTCAAAATGCAAAGTTTCATCTTTTGTTCATTCAAGGCAGGAAAAGGAAAGTAAACTTTTCCATCCACAAGCCTGAAGATTTTCCTATTCTGTGACTAGCCCTGAAATATGTATTTTCCTTCGACTTTACAGGATCAAGAAAGACATAATGTCATTCAAGGCAAGGAAAGTAAACTTTTCCATCCACGAGCCTGAAGATTTTCCTATTTTCTTCTGTGACAAGCCCTGAAATATGTATTTTCCTTCGACTTTACAGGATCAAGAAAGACATAATGTAGAGTGATTGGTTGACTATCGTTAAGAAACTGGGGGTATACCAGAACATAACCCTCTCCAATCAGGTCTCCCATGGGCTTAACATTTACCTCAACACTATCGTTAACCAAGATTAATGCTGATCATAGTTTCCTCTTAGCTAGAATTTCAAGTTAATTAACATATTCTGGTTATTAAGAGAGACTGGTCAGGATAAACAGCTGTTAATGCCAGTGCTGACAGAATACCTCAGCATGGTTTTAGGCCAGCAGGGACAATTTTTGTTGGGCATGAGAAGAATGAGGAGATGGAAAACCAAAAGATTCTCCATTATCTTCCAAGGCTAGGTCTTCACTAGCCTTCATAGGAATGTAGGATCTTCCATATAATCAGTGAAACCATCGATCCATTTAGCCGTATATTATCAACCTTGACTGATGGTGGTTTTCCATGGTTTCAAGCAGGTTTATGTTGTAACCCAGCCTAGAGACTCCCAGTGGCCATCTATCTATGAATTAACTAGGCTAAACTTTGTTTGGCTTCTGAAGTTTGACATAATCGATGTGCAGGGTGATACGCTGATTGCATCATTAAAAGGCATGCTGCCCATGAAAGATACAGTATTCATGGTGCTTATCGAGGCATTTAAAACTATCTCTTACTGTGTCTTTAAAAAATCAGTGGAATACTCTTAAAGCAAGCAGGCAATCAAAATGAACTCCAAAGTAAAGAGAACTTAAAATTTCCACACAGATTAATTCAAACCTCACCCATCTTTCCCACCCACCCCAGGAGGAAACTCAACAAGCAGAACACCTGAGCAGAGAAATATAATTACCTTTTGACTCTCCAAAGAGGCCACCATAAATTATCTTACAGGAACTCTTAACAAACGGGGAGGGGTGGATGATGACAGCTGGGAGGGAGACTTGTACCCACAATGCACAAGGTCTCTCCTAAAAGGAAAAATGAGAAGACAGGGTAATTCACCACCACTTTTGAAATAGCATTTCTATTAATTCCACCTGCCACAATGTAATGGGATTCAAAATGCATGAAAACATGTATTCTAATACAAAATTGTGTGTTGTTCAATCTGATAAGAGATCGATGCTATAAAAATACAAACACAACAATTCCAATTCAACAGAGTCCTCATCGGTGATGCAAATAAGAGTAAATAAAAGCACAGCGCAAACAAATCAAGCTGCCCCATGGGGTATTTTAGATTCTGCAAAGACTAAAATTCCACCTAATCTGCAGTTGTGAGACTGGGGGGGGGGGAATGACACCTGTGGTGAAAGCCCTCCTCTGATTGTCCTACAATAATTATGGAAGTAAAACATTCATCCGTGTAACATGTCCTACTTGCTTAACATGCTGCACTGACTGTCCAGAATGAATTACATTCATATTTTATATATATGTGCATATTGTAAGAACAACTTGGAATTTACTACTTGCTGTGAAAGCATTTTAATGTATTTGATGATTACTCTCGTATGGTCAGTGAGTAACACAAGCTGAAGAGTCTTTATTCCAGAGATAGCAAATTTACATAGGCTTTTTAATATGCAAAAGGCTTGGTGACCATCATCTGAGTCATTCCTTCCATGATCTTGCAGGGGAGGCATTATTATTCTGATGTTATAAATCAACTGAAGCCTAGCAGTGGTACCTTTCTCAAGGCCACCCAGTGAGATCTTCACCAACCTCTCACAGATCCAAATCCAACACTCTGATTGGTGAGCCAGAAGGCCAACTTAATGGCAAGCACAGCTGAAACTAACATAATAAAAATATAAAGAAAAGAGAAGAAGAGACACCACAAGCAGAGATCCACGTTAATTAAATCTATCCATTTCAATGGACACTTAGTAGGTAGGTATCCAGTGTAAATGGACAAAGTGATGGACGAGGAGCTGGAGGCCAGGGTTCAGCTGGGGGTGTGGAACTGATAAAACCACGCCTTAAATATCTCACCTCAAAAGCCCTGGTAGGGTTGCTTTAAGTCAGTTACAACATGACAACACATAACTAAGATATTAAAACATAAGCTTTAGCCAGAGTTATGATGAAAAGACTCCCAGACATCAGCAAAAGAATAATTATTATGCAAGGACTTTGCTGGCAGAGCCAATTAATAATTGCTGATAGTTAAATCTGAAGTGTGAAGCATTTCTCAGCTATCAGGAAGTAAAGGGGGAAGGAAAAACAGCACAAAACAGTTACAGTATATAGTATTTCTAAAGTACCCACACTGCTTTGCATGTATCATTTCATTAATCTTTACAATGTTGTCCTAGGCTTTGAGGGGGGAGCATGGGAGGGAACAAGATGCCATCAGCAATTTCTCTTGTCTGAGTGCACAAACCTCCCTTCTATTGTCACTGCTGTCTATTTGCTTGCCTTTTCCTCATATGCCCAACCCACATAACCCCCTAGAACAAGAGAAGTTAGCAAATGGAGTACAGTGGTGCCTCGCTTAGCGATTGCTTCGTTTAACGACGAAATCGCTTAGCGAGGACTTTTTCAGAGCGTTTTTACGCTTTGTTTAACAATGGTCCCTATGGGCGATTTTCGCTGAGCGATGGTTGAGACCATGCTTCGCATAGCGTTCAATTTTGGGTCCCCTGTTTCGCTTAACAATGGTTTAAACAGCCTCATGTTTGCTGTTTTTTTAATGTTTTTCTGTTATTTATAAAGTTAAAGTTTACTGTTTAAAATGTTTGAAATCATAAAGTGCACTTAATAACCCCTTTGTTAACCAAATTTGACTTTGTTCTGACTCTTATTTAATTTGTTGTATTTTTCCCCCCATTGAAATGCACTGAATAGATTTCAATGCATTTCAATTGGGGAACTGCGTTTCCTTTAGCAATGTTTCCTATGGCGATTTTTGCTTAAGGAATTGATTTGACAGCAGACAATTATTATCTATCGTACTGCCACCTCATTCAATTATACCCACAGGTCCGATCCAAGCAAAATTGACTATGAACTGTATTAAAAAGAATCAAAACTGATGAAAATTTTAGCATTAGCCATACCACGTAGGTGCATCATCTTATACATTAACAGTTGTGTACTGGCCCTTCTGTAGGCAAATCATCTCTGCAGCATATGCATGTGAACGCACACACAGAGACACACATGGGGGGATATCAGCAGACTCAAAGGAATCTAGGAATACCTCACCATAACAAACTCCAAACAGGCCAGTGAGGACTGAACTTGCTCAGTGGACATGAAGTGCTGAATGTTCGAGTTAAGAAAAGAAGAAACAAGACGGAATAGCTAGAAGCCTAAACAGGGAGCAGTTGCCCCTACAAAATATTGTTTCAAGTCGCACTTGTTTATGACCCATGCATCAAATGCACCAGCTTGTAAGAACATGGAAATTCAGCTTCGCTTGACATGTACCTATGTACAGACACTCAGCCCAAAACATGTAAGCAAACACAATTAGTCAACAGCAAGTTCAGCATGACAACAGAACCCAAACATTCAATCTAATCAAATTTAAGTGATAATTGAAGGGAAAACAGCTGTGTTCACAATCCTCCTACAAAGATTTGCAACTGCAATTTTTTTTCTAATGGGTTTAGTCCCATCATTTTCCTAAGCCATACTATTAGCAAAAAACAAGCCTGCAGCCAACCCAGCATGAGCCAGGATTTCATTAGAGTTCACATAGAGCAGGGTAATTTCTGGTCACTGCTTGGACCCAGAGAACCAAAATTAAATCAGGTGCTTTTGAATGTGGCCAGTGGCTAGGCTGGCTGGGGAATTGTCATCCAAAAAAAAAGAGGCACTTTTTTTAGTTTGTGACCAAACCCAACTCTTTCCCCTGCACTTGGCCATAAGAACATGCCTCTGAGGAGCAAACGTGAATTCCGGAAGCAGAGGAATGGCCCGAAGGAATATAAAGAAGTGGATCGGTTTTTAAGTCAATCCACAAGGGCAGGCTCAGTGCCACCACTAGTAAATTCTATGTCAGAACAGCTTCACAATTTTACCTGCCCTTCCTCATAAGTGACAAGTCCTATTGCCTTCTTCAGGTGCTACAGCCTCTCAGTTTTGCGTACATGCCTAGCCCTGCCCCTTTCCTCGCTACTTGCAGGGACACGTCTCAAGAGAAGAATCCTGCTCTCACCCAGTTTCTACATGTCAGCAAAACCCATGGAAAATCTTAATGTTTTAAGATTGATCATAGGTCTGTGAAGGTACTACTGAAATTCCAAGTTCTTGACTCCATAATTTTCATTTGTGCTAGATAAAATGGGTCTCGGGCTTAACATGAAAATAGATGGGAGAGAACAAAGGCATATATCTGAGTGATTTGGGAACGCTGAGGGTTCTTGGTCAACTATAGTAGCAATTGTTATTTTGTAGGGGAGGATCCATTTGGGGGAAGGAATGTCCTGTCTCAAGAGACATCAGGTTGCATGAGAAGAAGATAAATTTGAAGTATGAAAAAAAAGAGTGTACTATCACAGACCAGTTTCTGAGACTGAGGAAGGGATGTTGAATAAATGATTCAATAACCCAGTGATTCCTAGCCCTGGGTAAACCAGATATTCCTGGACTACAACTCCCAGAAATCCTGTGCAGCACAGGTAGTGGTGAAGGTTTCTGGGAATTTTAGTTCAAGAATATCCCATGTTGGGAATCACTGCTCTAGATGGTCCACTGGCTGAAATGAGGCCATTAAAAAAAACTTTTGGCTATCAAGATTCCAAAGTTTGGGAATCACTGATTTAAGCAATAGTGAGACAGGATGCTCACATCAGAAGTACTGCACTTAACACCAGCCAGAATCCTGTTGGTTATGCCCACTAGCATAACTCCATGTGCGTAAAATTTAATTGTGAACTGTTGCAAGTTAAGAAATCAGCAGGGACATTTCCTATTGCACACAAGATGCATGATTTAGCAAGCAGGAGCCAATGCCTATACTGACTTCTTAACTCATAGCTGAAATTTATACCAGCATAATTTGACCTGTTTTAAACACTTGCCACTTGTACTTTACATGCTTTTTGTGCTCCTGTCCAGAATGCATGTAGGATAGTTGCCTTTAATCGAACTCTGCCCTCCTCCCCACGTTGTACTACTGGGCAGGTTTTCTAGAGCAGCCAACTCTCAGGTAAAACTCTTGCCTCTGATTTGAAACTGACCTCCCCTTGTCAGAATAATTTGGAAAAAGCATCCTTCACTTCATCCCACCCTCACCCAGCACCTATTTCATTTTGACAGAATTACAAATATGTCTGCTACATACAGAACAATAAGCCTGGCAGAATCAAGCAGCTCCGCCGATAACAAAGCTCAGTATTTTATGGAACAGCCTTTTGTTGTTATTGTTACCACCAAGCTGTCAAACACCTGCTGTTTTAACACACGTTTCAGAATATTTGACATTCTACAGATCTCTGTCTCTTGCACTACAATTAGGAGAGGTTCCCTTGAAACTTTCTGCCCATCATGAAAGGTGGGAAAATGTACATTTACTTCAACGCTCAGACACATAAATTGAGTATTTTCCTATTTAAAAGTAAACAATGTCTTCCAGTTATCTGCACAAGGTGACCAAGTTCAGATGTTCTAATACAGAGGCAAGACAGGCAGTTTGCTTTAATTTTGTTCGGTGAATGCTGCAGCCTCTGCCTACACGTAGCCTTTTTAGAAGTCACATTTATCTTTCCCACACAACCATACTTCCTGCCACCATCAGCCCATAATGACTGCCAGCTGTACTTTACAGAGTTAGTGGACATCTGTCTGGCCACAGAGCTTTCCAAGCCAGTTCTGTGATGGTATAAAGTCACTGTCTGTCTGAAAATGATTTTTCTCCAATCATCACCCTCTCCTTGACAGAACCACAACTATGTTTCTGGAAAAAAAAGAAACATCTGATAATTTGATCTACTGCCTCAATCTATTTAAGGAGAAC